TAATAATAATAATAATAATAATAATAATAATAATAATAATAATAATATCTTATTGGGAAATATCTTAAATTCATTCTATATCGCTTGTATAGTAGCTTTTTCCAACTTCTTTTTCCAACTTTTTTGGAAGTATATTCAGCTAGTCCATAGCCATTTTAATTTTTTTATTTTATTTTATTTCATACTGATAATTTTAATTTTGTATTTGTAAATCAATGTATTTTTTGTATTTTTATATTTAATGGTAATTTATTATGTACTATTGTATTTCAATGTATTTTATCATGTTGTAAGCCGCCCCGAGGTTTCGGCAAGGGGTGGCATAGAAATGTTATAATAATAATAATAATAATAATAATAATAATAATAATAATAATAATAATACTTGCAGTCCTGGCCATACAATACTAAGGCAAGAATCTTTACAACTGACTTTAGTGCTGCTTTGTACAAAATACAACAGCCTGCTCCAGAGGACATTACTGAGATTCCTCAGGACTTTATGACTGAGATTTCCATCAACAAACCTCTGCATCATTGTATGCTTTTCTTTTTGTCTTTATTTCTGTTTTTGAAGCATTACATGAAGGCTGCAATGTTTGAGCTTCTTCAGTTATCTTCTGCAGCTTGTCTTGCATAGCTGTATGTTCTACTTCTGCCACATTTACCTTATCCTGAAAAACAAAACAGCAAATGTTCTAAAATAATCAGAAAACTCATGATATTGGGGCAAGTAAGGTGAATTGGCAAACTGAGGCTATGATCCAGAGATAATTGTTTATGCTCAAATCTTACAAAAACAAGTGACTCAAGAATGTATTGCTTAGAACGGAACAAGGTGGCAAAATTCAGCAGAGGATCTAAACCCACCTCTACTTTGTTTTCCAAATAAATCCTCACTTTGGATTACATTAACCCACTATCAGTACTCCAGAGTGTGAAGCTAGTATAGAATGGTGAGTCATGCAAGAAGATAAGACGATTCAGCCTTGGCATTTTCAGAAGACAATAAAGGTATCTACAAGTGGTCCCTTTGACAATATGAAGAAATATGACGCCTCTGGACTGCCCTGCCTGATTTAAAAAAACCTAGGTATCTATCCTCCTTCCCTGGTCTGGTTTGGTCTGGTCTGGAGCAGTTATCTTCTGCCCGCAATACTTTCAAGCTCCAGCATGAGGAGCAGTTATGTTGGGCAAGATTTGGGTACTACTATCCATGCCTCTCACCATGTCCTAACCTCTGTTCACAAGCACATGGTCATATCAACTTGGTTCATTAAGAGTCACATGTAAAACAACAATCCATTGGTCAAATGCACCACTACTCTAACATGGACTCTTCAATTGAGTTCAAAATTGAAGAGATCCAAATATTTGCTTCTCCAGTCTTCTGTCTGCAAGGATCCACTGCCTCACTTGAACAAGGGAAACAAAGTAATTCAAGCAAACCTTGCAGCAAGCATATGTACCTGCCATTCTTTCACTTTCTCAACAAATTTTGCAGTTCTTGCTTCTTGAGCAGCAATATCATCTCTGATAGTTTTTATTTCTTTTTCAGTGTCTCTCACCTACAACCAAACAATAAAAATTACCACCATACCCTAAGAATAATAATCAAATTAAACCCACTTAAATTAAGCAATAGTGATGCGGCATTCAATTACCATTGCCCAAGCTATCTGATGCTGCAGCACCTTTAACTCGTTTTGCATTTCACTCATAGCAGCAATACTTTTATAGCGCTCCTCCTTCACCAAATACTGCTTCTTAAGTTCTTCGAGAAACTAGAAAAGTAAACACAAAATACTGATGAATGGAGATGATAGCAGTAGAGATACTAGAATACTTTATACATGTTTGCTAGTGTTAGATCTGACATGAGATGCTAGCAATGCAACCTTTTACAAGAAATGAACTGGTTCACTAAGTAGCTCTTTGGCCTAATTGAGATATTAACCATCCCAGTCCAATAGCCAGTTTGGCTCCAATCTCTGAAGCTAAGTGTGCCAGCTGTAAAGGGAAAATGAGAAGGGAATGTGAAGGCCCTGGGTATGTTTTCTGTCATCAGAGATATGCTGAACTGCATCTTCCTTAATCAACTCATAAAAACTAGAATTGATTCCATTTATTAAAATAGATACCAGCTAATAGGCAATGTTTTCTTGGTGGTTTATAAAGATTAAAACCCTAAAACTAATGTATAAAAGCATAACCATTTTAAAGCAATTAATATTGATTGATTGATTGATTGATTTGGAGAACTTCTATGCTGCACCATTCGCATAAGCCTTGGGGCGGCTTCCAAACCATAAATAAATACAATTGATACAAATAACATAAAATATTGGCGACATCCTGGCAAAAATTATTAAAATCAATAAATAAAGTTAACAATTAAAATAACGTTTAAATAAAAAGGTCTTGGCCTGGCACCGAAAAGCAAGTAACGATGGCGCCAGGTGGACCTCTCTGGGGAGTGCGTTCCATAAGTTGGGCGCCACCGCAGAGAAAGCCCTCCTCTGAGTACTCACCCTCCTAATATCTTTCACGGAGGGCTCCCGGAGAAGGGCCTCTGCCGCCGATCTCAAGGGGCGGGAGGGAAGACATGGACGTAAGCGCTCCTTTAGGTAACCAGGTCCCAAGCCGTTAAGGGCTTTATAGGTGATAACCAGAACCTTGAATTGGGCCCGGACTTCAATGGGGAGCCAGTGAAGCTGACGGAGGACTGGAGTTATGTCAGCACAACGCCCAGTCCCCGTCAGCAACCTGGCAGGTCTATTTTGCACCATCTGAAGTATCCGGACCACCTTCAAGGGCAGCCCCACATAGAGCAAGTTACAGAAGTCTAATCGGGAAGTAACCAATGCATGTGTCACTGTCACCAGGCAATCGTTCTCCAGGTAGGGACGCAGCTGATGGATCAGCCGAAGCTGGGGGAAAGCGCTCCTCGCCCCCGCTGTTACTTGAGCTTCCAAAGATAGCTCTGGGTCGAGGAGCACTCCCAAGCTGCAGACCCTGTCCTTAAGAGGGAGTGCAACCCCATTCAGGACAAGGTCGAGGTCCCCCACCCCGAAGCCTGACCCACCTACCAACAGGATCTCCATCTTGTCTGGATTGAGCTTCAGTTTATTGGCCTTCATCCAGCCCATTACCTCGGCCAGGCACTGGTTCAGTACAGCCACTGCCTCACCTGGATTGGTCGAGAATGAGAGGCAGAGCTGGGTATCATCAGCATACTGATGATTCCACAGCCCACACCTCCTGATGACCTCTCCAGTGGTTTCATGTAGATGGTAAATAGCATGGGGGACAAAATGGATCCCTGCGGGACTCCATGGCATAACTGCCATGGCGCAGAGCCATAGTCCCCCAGCACCACCTTCTGGAAATGGCCGTTGAGATAGGAGTGGAACCACTGCAGAGCAGTGCCTCCTATCCCCAATCCCATTAGCCTATCCAGAAGGATACCATGGTCGATGGTATCGAAAGCCGCTGAGAGGTCCAGGAGGACCAACAGGGACACACTCCCCCTGTCTCTCTCCCTGCACAGGTCATCATACAGGGCGACCAAGGCAGATTCAGTACCATACCTGGGTCTGAAGCCAGACTGAAATGGGTCCAGATAATCAGTCTCATCCAAGAGTGCTTGGAGTTGTCCCGCCACCACTCACTCTAACACCTTGCCCAGAAACAGGATATTGGCCACCGGTCTATATCTGGTGACCATCTCTGGATCCAGGGATGCCTTCTTTAGGACAGGCCGGACTACCACCTCCTTTAAAGGAGCAGGTACCCGGCCATCCCTCAGAGAGGCGCTGACAACCTCCAGGATCCAGGTCCCTATCCCGTGCTTGGCTTTGTTAAGTAGCCAAGATGGGCAAGGGTCCAATAAGCAGGTGGTGGGACGTACTTGTCCAAGCACCTTGTCCACATCCTCAGGCTGCAATAACTGAAACTCATCCATCAATTTTGGACCACATGGCAACATTGGCACCTCCCCTAAAGGCTCTGAATCACTAGTGGAGTCCAGCTCGTGACGAATCTGAGCGATTTTCTCCTTAAAGTGCTTGGCAAAGTCATCACAGCAGGTCGTCGAGGGTGGTACAGGGTCTCTCTTAGGGCCAGGATGAACCAGCCCTTGTACCACCTGAAAAGCTCTACTGGATGGCATTGTGAGGAGGCAATGGAAGCGGAGAAGAATTTCTTTTTCGCCACTCTCACTGCCACAGCACAGGCTCGATAATGAGCTCTCAAGTGTGTTTGGTCAGATTCGCCCCCTGATTTCCTCCACCTACACTCTAGACGTCTCCCAACCTGCTTCATTGCCCCTAATTCGGATGTGTACCAGGGGGATGAACGGGCTCTGCCCGGCGGGAGAGGATGCTTAGAAGAGGCCGTGTCAATAGCCCTGGTCATTTTTCCATTCCATAGTTCGACCAGAGCATCGACAATGGCACCAGCCTTGTCAACCGGAATTTCTCCCAGGGCCTTCAGGAATCCATCTGGATCCATCTGGCTCCGGGGGTGGACCAACACAATCGGGTCCGCACCCTTACAGAGGGAAAGGCCGCTCTCGAGCTCAAACCTCACGGGGAAGTGATTTGACCATGACAGGGGAGTTATAAATTCCTCACTCTCAGATCCCCCTCTTCCTGCCCCATCGAGAAAACCAGGTCCAGAGTGTGTCCACGTTCATGGGTCGGGCCAATGACATGTTGAGACAGCCCCATGGCCGCTATGGAGGCCATGAAGTCCTGAGCCGCCCTGGTCAGAACAGTCTCGGCATGGAGATTGAAGTGCCCCAGGAGAAGCATCCTGGGAGTCCTCAACACCAGGTCCGAGACGATCTCTGTCAGCTCAGGCAGGGAGTGTTGGGCAGAAGGGTGCACGGTACACCAACAGAATCCCCAATCTGTCTCGGTCGCCCAACACCAAGTAGAGGCACTCTAGACCCGGCCTCGAGAGGACAGGAAGCCTTGCGAGGGAGATGGAAGCTCAATAAACTAGAGCTACCCCCCTCCCCTCCCCTCCAGGCGTGGTCGGTGCTGGACCAGATACCCGGGCAGGCACAGTTGAGAGAGGGAGACATCCCCCCCCTCCCACCCAGGTCTCTGTTATGTAAGCCAGGTCGGCCCCCGCATCCACAATCAGATCGTAGATGAGGGATGTTTTATTATGGGCCAACCTGGCATTAAGCAGCAGCACCGACAGGCCCGAGGGGCGGTTGACAAGCCTACCTGGAACCCTCCGGCTGGGGGAATAACCAAGTCATATTAAATACCAAGTCCCGTTAAAGGCCTTATTATATACTGGGGGTATAGGAACATCTTAAACTGGTGTAAAAATGATGACTGCACTGAAACCAGGTGGGCCTCACTGGAGATAACATTCCACAGATGGGGGCCACTACCATTAAAGGCTTCCAACTTATCCCTTGAGCCTTCAAGAGGGACTCAAGTAGCACATTATAAAGTTCATACTGAGAGTCACTCCATCTTCCATCAGGTACTGCAGTTCCAGGCCATGTAGGTTTATAGGTCAAGACAAGAAACTTGCACTGGACTTGAAAACATACGAGCAGCCAATACAAGCAGGCCAGAATTGGTCTTATATTATCAGTATTGGTCTTCTACCTGCTATCAATCTGGCTTCCACATTTTTCAAATTCAGCACCACACTGTATTATGCAAACCCAGACATTGCCACAGCATAAAATAGGTTTTGCCTGTCCAGAAAGGGGCATAGCTTGGACACCAAGCAAATAGAAGGCATTCTGTGCCACAGAGACCACTTCAGCCTCCAGAAATAGATGATTCCGGAAGAACCCCCCATATGAACCTGTTGCTTTAGACTGAACACCTTCCCCCTGGTGAGAGGAATCATCCACTAATGGCAGCTTCTCTGGACTGAACTTCAGTTTTTAGCTTTCATCCAGTCCATAGTTGCAGCCAGGCACTGATTTAGCATATCCACAGTTTTCTCAATGATATGAAAAAGAGAACTAGAGTTGTCATTAGAATACTGATGACAACATACTCCAAAGCTCCTGCACATTGTCTTTGTGATGACTGAAACATGCTCAAGAATGTGTAAGTTATGAAGTGCTACTAGTCTTATTTGGAATTTTTGAGAAAATTGAGAAATCTGAGATTTGTAATGGAAGTTTCATGTCTATGACACATAAAACCACTGCTGTATTCTCCACCAGGACACTATTGTTGCTGTGTACTACTAAAATGCCCCATACCTCTTCTCCTTGTGCAATTTGATCATGTGTTCTGGCTTTGGTTTCCATTATGTGAGAATAATCCTCTTTCATCTGCTCCAGCTGTGTTGCTTTCATAAAGAACTAATTCAAGAAAACAAAGTTCATATTTTAAAACTGTATTTTCAAAAGACCAAGTATTATGGGAACAATCCTTTCACATGATTCATGTGATTCCTCTCCAGTTTGCCCCATTTGCAGTTCAACCGTGTAGATAAATACACGAAGGAACATCATAAAAGCTCACCAAAGAATGCAGATCCTGTGCATGCCCTCCATACCCCCATCTCAACCTTCCTCTCCCTGCATTGGAGTATAGGGGAGAGAGCTGCTTGAAGTGCATTGGATATGTGCTGCCCATCCCTGCTCCATGTATTATTAACTATTTTATATGGAGGTTTTGATTACCTTGTATTTGTCAGCTTCATTTTTAGATTGCAGAAATAGTTTGCTCATTTCCTGAGTTAGTACAGATATAGGATTATCTACCTGCAAGAAAAATAAGTATTAAAAACATTCTTAACCAAAGCAATATTTAAGTGATTAGGCGCTTGGGAATAATTTTTTTCTCTCTGCTCAATATGACATGGGAGAAATGATTGCAACTACAACAGTATTAAATTATCTTGCGCTTAATATCCTGCATTTTATTTTACTGCACTATTAAATCTTGAAAGGATACTCAGAACTAGTTTGCTGGTGCAGCAAGTCAGATTTTAACTGGTAGGGTATGTGTGGCATGTGGTATGCTTGCAGGAAATGTTGAATTTGTCAGAGTTCGCTTCCTCACTGAAATGCAAATTCTGCAAACTACTTGCCACAGTGCAAAGAACTACACAGGAAACAGAACATCCTGTGGGTCTTTTAATATTAACCAACCCATCCCAGTACTAGCCTTTTCTGAGAAATGGAAAGATGTGTTAAAGATTGGGCATGGGAGCTACTGTTCAGCTAATAAGCAAAGGGTAGTAGGCTCTGTATTTGCTGTACATATGCAACATTCTAAGATCATTTTAAAATAAACTGTGTAAGGTGTTATATTATACAGAATTTAAATTTGTTGGGATTACCTGGATATTAAAGTGATCCAGAATTGCAGTAAGTTCTTCCTTCTTAGAAGAAACTAAGACACCTGAATGTTAGTAAGAAAAAACTATAGTCAGCATTAAAATATTTTACTATATAGCTCAAACTAAACTATACCTCAAGTGTAGAAAAAGTGCCCCTTAAGAAAAAGGTGTCTAAACTTCACCAAGTGTACTTTAGATAAAAACCAATGCAAATCAGAGTGAACATAATGCACACAGGTCAGGTTTCCAAATGGATTTCTGACTTATTTATTAAACTTGTATCTTGCACAAGTAATCCCACAGGGCTCTCTAGCAGTTGATTACAATTACATGCTCAGGCATTTATTCGGAGAGGAATAATTTAGCAGGCTGATGCCTTTGTCCCATTATATTAGCACACACAATGGCCATGCAAACCACCAGTATTACACAGATGCGATCCTACCATTGTTACACTGAGACTACATTCATATGAGCAGTTCCAGTACCTTTGAAGGCAAAACAGCCTTAACAAGAACTACTAGAGATTTATCTCAAGATCTGTAAGTGTAAAACAAACAAAATACCTAAATCATATGAAAGAAAAAAATAAGCTAGACAGAAATAGTACTACTAATGCATTCATTAGTGCAGGGGCAGAAACTGAAAGCAAAAGCTTAACTAAAGACATCAGTTAGCCATGCCATAAGGTGACAACACGTGTCATCTTTAGCTCATTGAACAAGCACCAGCACTAGCTCTGGGCTATGCATGTCAGGAGAAGGAGGTAGGAAGGGATGGAAGAGGAAAGGTGGAATCAGAAAGAAAAACTTTAAATGGGGACAGGAAAAAGTGAGTGATGACAGGAACAGGAATGAAAACAGGGAAGATTGCAGATAGAACAATTAAAGACAAAGAAGAAGAGGAGAGACATCCATGAAATTGCAAGGCCCAGGTGCACAGCAAGGATGCAGAACAACATTCAATTGCAGGAACCACTGTTCTTTCTAAAACTAAGCTTGTGTCGTCCCATGCCTGTCATTTCAAAAGTACAATGGTTCCACCCAAAACCAAAGCAGTGGATTCTGTAAACTTGGGGGCGCAGGGAAGGTTCGCTCTCCAGGTCCTGAGAACCAATTAACTTGTAAACCCATTTTTTACAAAAATATATAACCAAAAAAGGACCTGTATTTAGAGGCTACTAGTATTAGCTTACATGAGCCCCTTAACACTTTCTAATATTTTTAAGTTCTGATCCTTTTCTGCAATACCCCAACTCATTGGGTATTCTGCTAGTATTGACGTAATGATATTTCAGTGTATCTTTCGGTACTTCTGGCATATGGTCACATTGTACAACGTACAAAATAGTCGACACCAATGGAGAGGTACATAACATATAACCCTGCTCTTACAAACATGCAGGAGAAAACCACTAGGGGAGAGCAGGGAACAGTTAGAATCTCAACTTATCAAGCCTTACTGAACCTTTACTTCCTTTGAAAAATGTATACATTCTGAATACTTTAAAAATGAAGGTAAACTATCACCAAACCTGTACTGCTTTTCAGTTTGTAACTACGATGGCCTTCCACACTTATGTGCTGATTTATAGTGATGGAATCACCATAGCATTCCGGTTTAAATGCATCATCACCTCTGTTTCGAAGAGTTATTGAAACATCTGCAGAACTAAAGCACAAAGTAAGTTAGCAAAGACAGGTTGCTTATCTGGGACTGTAGTTCTTCAAACGGCCATTCAAGGATATGAGTTCTGAGTATCCACAGGGCTTATCCTGGGAAGCTTCTATAGTGAGAGCAACACAGGAAACCCTCTTAATAACCATTCAGCATGTTAGTTGGGAATTATACTCTGAAACACCAGGTTGGCTGCTCCTGAGCTTTGGTGGCTGCTCCCTACTGCAAACACTTATCTGCAGAGGGGTAATATGGCAGTTATGTGTCTATAAAGATTACTGCTTCAAGAACTATAGTTATAGATATACAGCTGTCTTACTTTTTTGTCCCACATATAGACAGAACAGCTCAGACATCCAAGCCAATAGTGATGTACAAATGTATAGGGGATACGGCCACATAGCAGCATAAGAGAACGTTCAGAGTGATGATGCCATCTCCTTGGGGGAGCGAGCCCAGATTTAATGAGGCAGCCAGAAGTTTTGATCTTAGGGCACTCAAGAGTAAGAAGTATCCCGTGCAGCTAATCCCAAGTGATTATTTTCTACCATGTGCATAAGAAACAGCAGTGGAGAAAACATCTCCAGCCACTGGTAGGGGAAAGTATCTCCCACTCCCAGAACAAGTTCTGCTCCACTTCAGTAGTCCCTCCAACAAACTGGGAGGCTAAACACAAACTGGAGTAACCCTGTTTAGGGCATACCAACCCCCAAAATGTAGCACCAGATGTAGCAGGGTGCACCTCAATGTTCATACAGTTTACTGCAGTTATTTTATTATTACAGGTTTGATTACTCTTTCACGAGCATGAACACAGCCATACAGAATGCCTCAACCACTACTAAGAGTTCTAGGATAAAGATAAGGAACTTTCTCTTCACAGCAGAATAGACATCAATGCGATGGCCCCCAAAGTAAGCTCCCCACAAAGTAAGCTGGGAGGCAACAGACATTAGTTATGGATGAGACCAGTGGGGAGAAAGAGACTGATTGCAACAAATTGTGAGAATTTATCCACCACCTCAGAAGGTAAAGTCAACAACTTTCATTTCAGGGAATCCAGAAATTTGCAGAGATTCCTGATAAATCAGTGGTCTAATGATCTCATGTGCAACCTTGCAAGACGGGGGACAGCTGCAGTGGCCATCCTGAAACTAGATTACCTGAAAGTTATTCACCATGAGAGAGAAGTACAGCCTCTCAGACGAAGGCCAAAGAGCTGTCAGTTTTTAAAAAGACTCAGAAAGCACAGAACTGCCCTAACAAATTGGACCTTGTGGCTAGGAATAGGACACCTTTTCCCCCCAGTATTGATAAAAACTGGGGGGGGGGGGATAGCAATGGAGCAACAGCCTCTTTATTGAACACCCTTCGATATTTTATCAGTTTTATCATCTGCCTAGTTGTTTATTTTAATTCTTATCTAGTTGTATTTTAAAACCAAGCCTCCTGCAAGAGAAACTGCATCTTGGATCTGTAAGCTCCTGAAAATATTATACAAGTCTCTGCTGCAACACGCTGCAACTGAAGCAGTGGCAAGGAATAAGAACAAGAAACGCAGCAGGACTAGCCGTGGCTCTTCCACTTTGACCAAGCCAACTTAACATCCAAAAATTGAAGATCATGTGATGTGTGGGAAGACCATAAGTAATAGTAACAAGATCAATCGCTTCTATTCTATTTCTGCTTCTAGCAGCTCCGATTTACTAAACTGGGATTTGGACACAGAAATTGAGAAAGAACAATTATTAGAGTTGTCCTCCACTCTGCATGAAGAGTCTAATCACTGGAATGAACCTTTGTGTACATTATCCTCTCCTGATGTTTACACATCCTTGAGGGGAAAAGAGCAAGGCAATCAACCATCAAAGGAATTTACAACAGACTTTGCTGCCAAACAATGTCTATTAACTGCACAAACTGTAATTTCAATCTTCAAACAGTTAATTCTAATAAATACAAATGTGAATTCCTTAAAAACAGCTTTTGAAACTTTTGTGCAAAGCTTTACAAACTGGCAGCTTCTGAAACAGCCTTTAAATTTGGCACTAATTTGGTCCTGTTTACATATACTCAAAGAAAGCAAAACTGTTTAGAAGAACTAAGACAAGAAAGGACACTTGATCAAAGACAATGTGTGCAGCTCCACCTTCTGCCCAAGAGTTAAGTTTAAATCTGTGCAACCGTGTTCTTCAGACGCATCAGTTTGCACTAAGAATTACACCCAATAGATTTAACATTGGGCACTGGTACACCAGAAGAGCTATTATTCTATCTCTTAGCTCACTTCTCCAATGCCAAAGTTATATGATTGACTTAAGTGCTGTTCAATGGCTCCTTAGCATGAGAGGCAAACATTTTTCATTGTCTTTTAACTGCTCTACTATCCCCAGTATGCTGTTCAAAATGAAACATTTTCCTTCCACCTTTCAAATACACCCACTGCGAGTCTTCTGCAACAAAAAGAAACGTCCTTTCTGGCATACCTTCCCAAACAGACACTCCCCCGCCTTACGCCATGGTTAATGAGCCAAATGATAAAAACCATAGTAATCCAGCACCTTCAGTGACCTTGACAAGGCATTGTCTGAATAATCATGCTGAATTTACACGAGAAAAATCTGGCACTGATGATGCTTTGGAATCAGGTCTAATTACTTCCTTTGAAACTCTATCAAATAAAGAGCAAGAGGACATACTGAGACAGTTGAACAAATGGAAACAAACACTGCTGCTGACTAGAGCAGTGGCAAAGCCCTTAAATATTTTTGGACTACCAACTTGACATTAATCCTGAAGAAAATCAGTTTAAACTTTCTAACCAAGCATCTCTACAAGAAAACAACTCAAAGTCACTTGGCCTGTCTTCTTCGTCTGAGAATTGCCCCAACAGTATTTCACTTCCAACTCCTATAATTCCACTGAGGGCAAATATAAGACACTCAGAAGTCACTTCCTTCACTTCTGCTCAAGGGATGGAACGCACTTCTATTCTTTCCTGCAGCCAATGCCAGGGTGACAGAGGGCCCCCCAAAGTATGGCTCCTCTTTTTCAGACTCTGATGGGATCCAAAATAACAAGCACAGATTGACAACTTGAGTTCCTTTCTTGGAACCTGGGGAGTTGGCATAATAAGCTTTATGATTCTAACTTTATAATATTCATACATGGCTTTGATATATTATGCCTTCAAGAAACGTGGCTCATGGACCCCAATTCTTTGGATATTCAGGGGTTCAGGGCTTCTTTTGTCCCTGCAATCAAAACTCATTTAAAGGGATGAGGAAGTGGAGGCTTGAGTACATTGTTATCAGAGGACCTAAACATAGACATCCAGGTTGTAGAGAATTGCCCCAGTAATCTCCATTCCCTACTCCTTAAAGGTGAATATTTTAGAAGTCTACAATGTATAAATGTCTACATTCCACCTAAGAGTTCACCTCTCACAAGTAGGGGCTGCATCTGGGACCTGTTAACTGATACATTAGACTCATTAATATCTCACTTCCCATATGTGCATGTTATTCTATGTGGAGATTTTAATGCGAAAATAGGATTGGGAATCTTTGAGGAAGGAACTTACTTGAATGCTCAGCGTGCCAGGGATCCCCAGTTTCTAGATCAATCTTCAAAGGATTCAGTAGTACACAAGTATAGGTTAAATCTCTTGGAACTTCTTTCTGTGTTCAATCTCCATGTACACCATGGCACTTCTTTTGCTCTAATACTTATCATGGGACCGGCAGGGATAGTACAGTAAATTATATCGCTATTACTCCTGCCTTAATGAATCCAGTTGCTAAAGTTTGAAGTTTTAGACCTTACTTTGAGTAATCACTGTCCAGAACAGTTATCCTTTAAAATTAATTCTAATGTCATGATGAAACCACTTATGGATTTTGAAGAGGATCTTACTCCCAATTTCAGGAGACTTAAACGTCTGACAAAATACATTCTATTTTAGCTGATACTCGATTGAACCAGGAACTGAGCTGCCTGAGAGATTCTTTTCTGCAACACAGTTCCGATGTTATGAAAATTTTCAATGAGATTAATGACCAACTTAAGTTCTTTTTAAAAACAATGGGCCAAAAAAACGGAGAGCTCATGCTCAAAATGGCTGGTTCAATCTCAACTGTAATATCTTTTAAAAAGATATGCTATGAAACATAAGACAAGTTGCTTTGGCAAGAGCTTGACTGAGCAGTTTCCAAAAAAAATAATTCACCTTTTTGGGAACTGGTCACTAACCATAAGAATAGTCCTTATTGCCAGGTCAATTCATATATACCAGATGTTTGGATTTCTTACTTTAGTACTGTTTTGGGGTCTCAACAGCCATAGGAAGCATTTCCATCAACCAGGGGACATTGAAATGGTTGCCAGTTTCAGCCTCTGAAATAAGAGGTCTAATTGTCTCCCTGAAATCTGGCAAATCCCCTGGAGAGGACATGCTTCCACCAGATCTATTTAAAGCCTTCCCGGAATGGTGGGTCCAAATTCTGGCCAGAGTGTTCTCTTTGGTTAACATAACAGACCAGATTTTGCCCAGATAGAATGTGAGCATTGTAGTTCCTATCCATAAAAAAGGGGATAGAATGAATCCATAAAATTATAGACCAGTAAGTTGACTTGATGTTCCAGCAAAACTTTATAGTAAATACATGCTGTTAAAATTGGAAGATTGGGTGGATATGGAGCACATTCTACACCCAGTACAAGGGGGTTTCCAGAAAGACCTTGGAACCATCAACCACTGCTGAACATTGTATCAACTGGCCCACTTGGGTATTAACGGGCACAGAAAGGTGCTCTATGTTGCATCTGTTGACCTGGCAGCAGCATTTGACTCCATCAGTTGATCACACCTATGGGCTAAGCTTGCTGCAATGAACATAGGTAAAAGATTTCTTTCTCTGCTTCAAAGGATCCACGGAGATACAGTTGCACAAATCAGGGCGGGAACCTGTGGTACCCTAACAAAAAAAATTCCA